CATGCCAGGCGAGCTTGCTACCGCTTGAGCCACATCCCCAGCCCTTCTAAAAGAATTTAAATTGACTAATGATGTCCTATGTACCCCAACCATTTTCTGAGCTTTTTAAGTACTTAAGCTTTTTAATTATAAGAGTGATTGGTTTGGACTGAAACATCAGATATAGTTTTTTTATTTGACCAATGGTGTGAATTTTTAAAAAATAAGATCGTTGTAAATTGCTTCTTTCAAAATTTGATATTCTCAACTTTTTTTTTAGTTTTTCAACTGTTTTTATAATCATGCATGCACACACACACACACACACACACCCTGTCCAAACTGATTTGTCATTACTTTTACTTTACAGGAAACATCTAGAACTGTTTCAGGCAGATATAAAAGGTAAGAATCCTTATGTTTTAACTTATATTGTATAATGAGTGTGATGTCTGTCTGACATCAAGTAGAACTCTACCTAACCAAGTAGAACTGTGCAAGGCAGCTCTTTGAAAAGTAAGAAACTTTAACATTGTGCTCTTAGAAAGAAATTACATTATAGGCAGGAGTTTGATGTATAACCATGATTCTGTTGTATCTTGTAGTTTTTGAAAACTGCCTTCCCCCTGAATTTGCATGGGTCCAATGAACTTTGCAAATAATAACTTTAAAATGGCCTACAAGTAGACCAGTAAAATAATCAAAAGACTGGTTATGTAGCTCTGTGGTAGAGTGCTAACTGGATTCAATCTCAGTATCATAAGAAAAAAGGAAAAAACCCACAGATCTAGAATCTGATTTTATATCTGAAATTAGTATCAAAATCTAGTATCTGAAATTATTCATTCTTAAATCTGATAGGAATGTGTTATACCTTATATCAATAATTCATTTCTTTTATCAACCTATCAGCAAGTTGTAGCAATGACTAGAATATGCATGTTTCTTAATAAGGGTATCTGTTGACAGATGGAGATGGTAAAACTAAAGAATGGGTTGAAAGATAAAACTTTGATATCATATGATAGAAAAAAATAGCATACATTGTGTAAATGTATGTAAGTACACACACTAACAGGTGGAATTAACTCAGAAGCCTTTAGAGGAGTCAAGTAACCACAGAACTAGTTTTATGTGCATATATGTGTGTGTGTGCGCGCGCGCATGCATTTTTTTTTTTTTTTTTTTTTTTGGCACTGGGGATTGGAGCCACATCCCTATCCGTTTTTTTTTTTTTTTTTTGAGACAGGGTCTGACATAGTTACTGAGGCTGGTCTGAAACTTGTAATCCTCCTGCCTCAGCCTCCTGAGCTTCTGGAATTAACAGGCACTGCACCCATCTTTAAATATATGCTTACAAATTACTAATTAAGTATTTAATTCCTGTCCCCAAAATGTCAAGAATGTACTTTTTTTGTCTGTTTTAAGCACTGAGTCTGTTAAACATTCAAACTAGTTCTGCTATATTTTAAAATGGAATCGATTCTTGTCAAGAGCTTTTCAGTTCTCATTTGATTCTAAATTTGTTTCATAGGAAATTGATTAGAACCTTTTTAATTTTGGAAAATGAATTATTTATTTAGAAAAAAATTTATGCAAGATTTAAAATGTTGCAATACAACTATGTTAACTTTTTTTCTAAATGGAACTTTCTTATATCATTGTTTTAAAACCAGTAGTTCTTATTTGATTACACATGTATTTCGAGAACCATGCAATAGCAAGAAATATCCTTGATTTGTTGGCCAATGATGAAACTAGAAAAACCTGTCAAATTCTTTAAAAAGTGAGAAATCCAGACTAACAAGTATCAAATGTGTCTGTATTAAATATATTGTATATTTTGCCAAATGTTTCCAGGCCTCCAATATCTGTAGCTCTTTTGGCTAATGAACTTTTCAAAAGAACATGAAAACCACAAAGTGGTACTTTAAAGTGAATTGGCATATTGGTGCAGTTTATGGACTGAATTTTTCCCTGGTGGATTTGTGAATTTATCTGTTGTAAATATTCTTAGCTAAGATTTTTTATAATATTTACTATTTACCAGTTACTGTTCCTTTTTACATATATCCATTCCCCAATAGTATTATGAGGAAAGTGCTTATATTATCACCATTTTACAAAGAAGGAAACTGAGACACAGTGAAGTTTAATGATTTGTGTGAGATTAAACATATTAATTGGCAGATTTTGTCAACATATATTTCTTTACCTCATGGTAGTATCAGTTTGCCTAGTATGGGTAAGAATGGGGCATTTTGGAAGTTTGATATAGCTTATTTAGTCTCTTAAGTGTTTGGAAGGTTCCAATAGCTAGAATTTTTTGTTTAATATAAGCTTGAAAAAAAATTTTCCCCAGTGACTACTGCATATATGATCCTGGATTTCCCAGTCTACCCAGCTCTCTTTGTTAAGATAACTTTTGTTCTTAATTATAATCTTGAGGTTTTAGAAGTTCTGAAGTATCTATATAATTATGAAAGAGAAACTATGCACTAATGTTTGGCATAATTTTACTTTCTTTTTTTGTGTTAGGGATTTAACTCAGCCCTTGCATAGCTTAGTAGGAGCTGTACCATCCCCTTCCCCATAATTTTATTAAATGCATTTTATATGTTTTATTTCTTGGTAAATTAACCACTAAAGCTGAAAAATACTGTTGTCATTTTATTAATTTTTAAAAAGTCTCATTAAAATGTAATTTAAGTACCATAAAAAATCGCCCTTTTAAGGTGTATAATTCACCAATTTTTAGTGTATTCCCAGTTTTAAAAAATATTTATTTTTTAGTTTTAGGTGGATACGATCTCTTTATTTTTATTTTTATGTGGTGCTGAGGATCGAACTCCATGCCTTGCACATGTCAGGCGAGTGAGCTACCACTTGAGCCACACCCCTAGCCCTATATTCCCAGTTTTATAGAGGTATCACTACTGTCTGGTTCCAGGGTTTGTTTCCCTTCCTAAAAGGAAGGTCCTACCCATTAAGTACTCAATCTCCATTTTTCTCTTCCCATATCTCCTAGCAGTCAGTTATTTGTTTTCTGTATATAGGAGAGATTTCATATAAACACATAATAGGTGGCCTTTTATGCCTGTCTTTTTTCAGTTAGTATATTTTTAGGATGTATATCATATCATATCACCATGTGTGAATATACCACATTTATTTAGCCATTTATTAGTTGATGGTTGGTATAACAAAATATTATGTACATTGTATAATTTGATATAAAAGTTCATGTACAAATTTTGTGTAATTTTTATTATAACAGAAATTTTTTATATTGTTTTGTTGAAGCCCCCCCCTCCGAAAAAAAAAGAAAAACATAATAAACATTATATGTCATTATTGATTCATTCAGAATCAGTGCTAGTTGTTTGGGAGACTCATGTTAAGATGAGGAGTATACAGTTTTAGCTGTTTTTACTGAATGTTGTGAACTACATTTGAAAAAAAATGTTTTCTGGATATGTTTTGTCTAGTTCTCAAGTGGTAATATTTGAATACTCAGGTGTGTTTAATGAAAAAAATTAAATATAGTGAATATATTATATATTTAATAGCTATATATTCCACTATATTCTTTATATAATAATATAAATTTACTGTATTTACTTTTAGAAACCAGAAATAAGGATGTATAATGATATCCTATAACTGGGTTGTGTACTGAGGACTAAACCCAGGGGCGCTTTACCACTGAGCTACACCCATAGCCCTTTTTAATTTTTATTTTGAGAGAGGGTCTCACTACATTGGCCTGGACTGGCCTCAAAATTGAGATCCTCCTGCCTTAGTCTCCCAAATCACTGGGATTATAGGCATACACCACCATTCCCAGCTGGAACAACTTATATTTTTAACAGTGAGATAGGTTATAAGCTATTACATTCATGTAAACAATACAATGTAGCCATTAAGATACTATAGATGGAGCTGGGCATGGTGATGCACACCTGTAATCCCAGTGGCTCAGGAGGCTGAGACAGGAGAATCACGAGCTCAGAGCCAACCTCAACAACAGCAAGGCACTAAGCAACTCAGTGAGAACCTGTCTCTAAATAAAAATACAAAATAGGGCTGGAGATGTGGCCTGGCCTAATGGTCGAGTGCCTCCTGAGTTCAATCCCCAGCACCAAAAAACCAAGATGCTATAGATGGACTAGAGTTGTGGCTCAGTGGTAGAGCTCCTGCCTGGCACTCGTGAGGCATTTGGTTCGATCCTCATTACTACATAAAATCAAAATGAGTAAATAAAATAAAGTTCTATAAAAAAAGATGCTATAGGAAAAAAAATGAAACGTGGGAAAATTATTACCAATTTATGTTAAATGGGGAAGGACCGATAGAGCATAAGACTACAATAAAACAAAATTTATCAAGTAATCTTAATCTGAGATCTGTTGATGTCATGAGCTGTTGAAATTGTGTGTAAAAGGATATATTGCTTATTTTTCTGAGAAAAAAAAAGCTTTTTTTTTTTCATCATATTGTTAAGGGGTCTGTGATCCAGAAGGAAAACTTAATGTTGTAAAATGTTAATAGTAGTTATCTCTGGGTTGATGGGATTTCTGAAATATTAATTTTTATTTTTTAAGTGAATATATATAAACATTTTAATAGAGAGTCTAAGAGTTGATTTTGATTGTTAGTTGTTGGAATGTTCGAATTTTAAGGAAGAAAGGAGAGAAACCTATAAAGAGCATAGGGCTGTTTTGAGGTGTGGGAGTAGTGGTAGGAGAGCACAGGTTAGTGAAAGACACTAAAAATACAGAAACCAATCATGTACTTATTGGTTATAGGTATTTTGTGATATATCTAAATACTTCTGGATATTTAATATCCAATCTAAAAGTAGATTTTTACCCATAAGTCTTATAATCATTAAGCTTTAAAATGTCTATATTAGTGGAAAATTCCTCTAGCTATAATCTCTTAATGCTTCCAATCTCATTCTCATGATAGTTTTAGAATAACAGTGCTATTTCTATGACACCCTCTCATCTTTCCACAAAAGATGAGAATATTCCCAGAAGGGGAAAAACTTCCAATAAAGGGTGATATTTATCTCTGATGATACTGTATATTCGTTTCTCTTTTCTGAACATTATGGTTAATATCTTTGTAGCTAAGAGCAAATGGAGGATTCCTTTTGGATCTTATTAGTTAGAGATTTGTGTTAACATTCCTAAGTAGTACATTACAAACTTTTTGGAGTTAATGAAACAATCTTTTATTGTAAGTATTTTCCATTGTGCATATCTGGCCTACGAAATAGGTTAAAAATGCTCTGTTTTTAGGATAAGCAGCTAAATTTGGCAGTAAAATCAAGTAACACAGTTCTTCATAATTATGACAGTATTCCTTTCAAACCTAATATGTACTGGGGATACAAAACA